CCCTGCCTGCGCACAGCCAACGAACGTAAACGAACGGGTGTAATTTATGTAGATCTCGTGATGACTTCCACGTTTCAATCGATAATTAAATGCCACAAACATACGCCTAGTTCATTGAACGAACGTGCTTCTATTTGGCAACAACACAGGGGTTGGCAATGCCAACTTGGCATGACGTCTGTCACATGAATTGAGTGCGCATTTACAGCGATTAATATGACGACTTTTGCCATCTACTTCGACACACTGAGCTTAAGCACCTCTACTACCGTTCTTCAAATTTAATTTCGAATGCGTCGTGTAATTTCTACGCATTGTTTGTGACTCCGAAGTGGTTGCGATTTAATCGTCATTTATGCGTTTTAGCTACAACGTTTTGTGTAAGTTCGTCGTGTCCTTGCCTCTTGGCACATCAAATGTGTTCCACATTTCGCCCAATTCGAAGCAGAGAGCATTTATTATTTCTAAAACCATCTTTGTTTTTCGCATTGATCCTCTCCGTCACCGTGTGTGTGTGTGTGTGTGTGTATGTGTATGTGGGATTCCAAAGCAAAACAACACATCATTCAAGTTCACGTATCGCACATAAATAACCGGATTCCTTTGGATTCAAATGGAAATTTAGTTCTTATTGTCAGAATCAACGAATGAGAGGAGAGCAACACACACGGAGAGAGACAAGGAAGACGGAGTGAAATGAATACAAAAAAAAATGGTTTCGAATGTCTTTCACTCGAAAAACACCGCAAAAGTCATTTCTTGCCGTTATTTGTGTCAAGCTCGAAGCTGAATAGGTGAGGTTTTTATGTGCACATTTCACTATTAAATTGTTATCTTAATGCGATTCATCTTTGGCTTATACCGTTGCGTACAGCGGTGCACACATGTGAAAGTCAACCAGACGCTCTTTCTCTCTCTTCCCCTCTCTCCCACGCCTCTCTGCTTCTCTTTCACACACTCTTACTACTTCTCTAACCACTTGTCTTCTACTCTCGTTCGCCCGTGCAACGCTAACATTTTTCCACATACGTTTAGTGAATATAATCTTGAGGTATTTGTAAAGTTGCTCCGTATAATTTGTTCATCTTCATCGCGAAAACGATGGCAAACTGCACCTGTCTGAACCAAAAACAAGCACTAAAATTTCAAAAAAGGGTGAGATCTTGAATACGAAAAACCAACTCATGTTATGCATATTTCAAACTATTATGTTTCGCATGTACTCATATTTTTTCCGTTCTGTATCTATGCGGGGGTAGAAAACATTGAAATGCTTAACATCTTCGAGCAACAGCAAGAAAAATGTGACATTTTATGCTATGTCATGCATTTTTCAAGCCAACATCACTTCAAGTACGGTTAAAGTCGTGCTGACAACATTTCATACGAGCGTATAGTAGATAGTTGCGCATTTTTCTACTCAAATCCAAGCACGTCATCCATACGAAAGTTGCATTCAACAAAAGAAAAATACTACAACTTATTTCCGAATGGGTGGGAAAAAAATTGCGGTGAAGCGCACAAAGCAAAAATGAAAAAGAAATGAATTTCAACAATTTTGAGATCATTCAAGTAAATATTTTGAAATTCCATCGAAACATAGCGAAATGAGGGAAAGAAATCAACAGAGAAAATGTTCGCTGCATTTCATAACACATTGCATTTTCAAGTCCATCGCATGTAAGCTCGATTATTATTATTAATCAAATGTTCTGCATATGGCTCGCAGCAAAATGCGCCACAAACAATTTTTTTATGAATTACCGCAGCCAAGAACTTTTCCGGTTCAATGACATCAAATACCCGTGTTTTTTTTGCTTGTTTGTTTATGTTGATGCAGAAACAGGTAATTTTCTACTCATTTTCTCCCTGATCACGAAAATTGCTGAAGTGGAAACAGGATTTTGATGAGCATTTCAATTACAGAAAATATGATGATAATTTAATTGAAAAATTGCACACGCATTTCCGAACACTTGAGGCAAATGAATTTCTGGTCCGTTCGTTTTCGCACGGAAATTCAAAAACACCGTACATGATTCCTCAGTTGCACAACCATATTTGTGAAATGCTACATTTGGTTTCTCGACATGTTCCAGCCACTAATGTAATTAGAGCAAATAATGCAATTATTCAAGGGGCAGATAAATTAAACCAATCATCTGTATGTCGACAGGATGGAGATAATGCATCCAGAAATCATTGCCAAAATATTATCGATGAATGAGCTATTTGAATGTGAATAATTTTCGTTAGGTCTGTTACTCTTCCGATGGATTCGATTGATTTCACAAAAACATGAAATGGAAAAGTTATGGATTTCCATCTTCGCATTTGAAATTGATGTTTGCAAAATGAAAAATCGGAGCATCAACGAGCAAACAAGCGGCAATTACAAACAATGTTCCATAATAATGACTCAAAGTGGAAAGAGAAGAGATCGGCAGTAATAAATTGCAAGTGGAGATTAGACCCAAGCAATTATGTAATAAGTTTTCCGAGTTTGAGGTGAGTTGCACCGTTGTGAAAGTAAGTGCATTGAATACTTGGCAAAAAAGAATGCATTGGTTTTCAAGTGGCACTTGTGAACATTAACAAGTAATTCTTCATTGCCATTGGCAACAAATAACAACACCGCTATTGGTATAAAAATCTTATTTTCTCAAGAATACCTGGAAATGAGATTCCCCATCAACACTCAAAAACAGTTACAATGATGTTACACTTAAATACATTGACTGCATACTATTACCACAAGATGCCTACTAAATGATGATTTTCAAGCGAAAAATCAATCACTTGAGGAATAAGCCTAGCCAACTAGCCTTGTCATTCAAGCTTACAACAAATTTTGAATACCTCTGATAATGTAATGGCAAATGGCTTACAGGGAAATTTATTTTTTCAAAAAAAATCTCTCTCATACATCCTATATTCAACTGATTTCATGGAAAAAGTCTAAAATAAAAAAAAACTCGCTTACAAATTGAGTTATCGAATGAGGTTCATCAAATTGCGTGCAACTGGAATGTCATTCGTTTTAATTGGTCTAACCGCATGGTAAATTCAATTAACTGATTTTAAAATAATTTCAACTCAATTATTGTGTGAGCCACATTTTTTCTCTAAAAACCGGATAGAAAAAACCGCATCACTGACATATCGACAATTCACAGCAACCATTTCTGCCGCAAAAAAATGCGTGTATGTGTGTGCTTTCATCAAATATTCGGATTAGTATTTAATTATTCACTACGTTTGCCATATATGAAATATGTTGAGAAACCAATTTTAAATGATTAATCATAAATTCAAGCTTGTGTAAATTGCGAGAGGGGAAAAAATATGTTACAAATGCATGTTCCGATTTGTTGAACTGCATTTGATGAAATTTCACAGGTCATTGGTTTTTCGGTCTGATATTTATATAGCATTAATCATCCTCGTCTAATACCATTGATTTTACATGTAAAATATCAACAAGAAACGACAAAAGTGACCTCTCGTAGCGGCACAGTTGAAACTAACGAAACAAACACAATTGAACATGTCATTTTCATGTTCAGCGTTAGTTCTGTTGTTTGCCGTATAGCCGAAATGAGATGTCTACAGCTTAGTGGCATTGAATGACATTCAACACCCATGGCATTAATACACCCTGTTTAATTGCTATCGAATCAATTCATCAAGCAAACAGATTGTGTGCTACCAACATAAATTATAGCCTGCTTAGTATCTCATTTCAAAACAATATCGAATTTCAAAATCCATCGACCACACATTTGCACGTGCACACGTGGACGGAAGTGAAATACATACTGCGTCGTATTAGTACTCACAAACAAATCGAAGTTATCTTTGAAATTTCAAGTTAAATTCAACTTGAGCGCAGCGCACCAGACTCGCGTTTGTGTGTTCCGAAGAGTCGTACACATGCGCTCCACTTGTCCGTCGATGTAGTTGGTCGCAACGCATGTGTACGACTCTTTGGTACACATAGACGCGAGTCTGGTGCGTTGCGCTCAAGTTGGATTTAACTTGAAGTTTCAAAGATAACTTCGATTTGTTTGTGGGTATGTATTTCTTCAGCATCATTTCACGATAACACTTCATTGGAATTTGAAACGTGAGCAACAATCGAAAATAGACAGTAAATGGTTTTTCATCATCTTGGTTGCTTGTAATATTAATATCTCCTAATTCTAAGCTTTTTCAAGTGATTTCCATTGTAATATATCGAGATTTACCACGTAACGATTTCACTCAATCTATAGATTTTGGGTTTGCGTATACGCAATTAGAACATATATATTTGGTTTTACAGTCAAATACATACAATTTCTACGTGGAAATTTGCGTAATAATTTTGCCTTTGAAATAATTCAGTTTTTGGTTGATTGAAATTCCGAAAAGTCTCCATGTTTTCGAAACTCTATATGTAGTATGTTGACTGAAATTATATTTTGGTTTTCATTTCAAAGAATTTTGCTATTGGATTGAGTTTGTGGAATATTTCGCAGCGTATTCCAAGTTGGAATTTCCAACTAAATTTACTATTGGTAGCTACCTGCATTTGGAATGGCAGACACATCTGCAATTGAAAAATAAAATGGAATTCACTTTACCAGAAGACCTGGTGAAGTTGTGGCATTGTTCGGTGCACAATGCAATTTTAAATTAACATTCTGGCATCAAATGCATTTCCATCAAAAAATGAATCAGAATAATTATTTACACGATTGAAATTCAGCTGTTTGTTCTTTCTGGCTGTTTGAAAAACCATTCTCTAGTTATGTAACCATCAATAATATGAAAACATTCTTCAAAGAGCGATGAACCCTTTTGTTTACAACCCATTTTCATATGTTAATAAGACATTTTAATTGGTTATATCTGATGACCCATTCATTTTTTCCCTCGCCCGATTGCACAAACAAAAGCTAATTATAATGTTACAATCGCCCAGAATGATCTATTATATTCTCTTATTTTAATTGCAGGAGCATCAATAATAGCAGCAGTACTCCACTTAAAAAGGCTAGACTAGACTTACGACCATTTAAAAAGAAGACGATAAAGGTAAATTTTTCAGTAATAAAAACCAAATTTTGTGCTCAATTTCGTGCTTGTTCAATTGTTTTGGGCCATTTTTTTCATTTTTTGTCCGCAGCGAAAACGCATCATTCCTTGATAATTATCTCAGATATTTAAAAGAGGTGCAGAAATTTTAGTACTCTCAAGAATTTTGGTGGAAAAAAACTGTTTTTTATAGGGTAATTTTTAGCATTCCCATGACAACCGCTGGAAAGAGAGTGAAAAAAGGCGGCAAAAGATCGCCAATTATTTTCATGATTATGGTTATGGTTTTTCTGCTGATAAAATAAATATTTGCGTTCCACTTGAAGGGGTTGTTTTCGCCGAGAGAATGAAGGAGCTTTATAGTCAAGCTTGCCGTTGTTCGGTTGAATTTTTGTATGGCACGATTTTTTGTGCCACTTTTGCATTTAATTGGTTAATTACGCGCTTCTTTTATTGTCTCAATCGCTGATAACGAATATAAGATGGAGAAAAAAATGGGAAAGAAAAGCCATAAATTCCTTAACTACATGCCGAGAGAGGGAAAAACAGGCAATTTGCCACTCAAATTTACAGCAACAACACATACCGAAAAAAATATTACAATTTCTTTGAACGACAGACACAACGCAAAAAAAACAATAATGTGAGGGACTGAAAGCGTGCAAAAAGTGTACAACAACATTATTGCACGTACAAACGTCAAGTTACTGCTTGACTGAAGCTCAATCGAGCGCTTCCACTTCTTTTCCCATAATTCTTGCGCGTATTTTTTTCTTCTTCTTCTTCTTAGCTTTGGCTACGGTAATTCTGTGTACTTTTTTCCCTAATATTTATGAGTAATTTTATTGCACATTAATATACAGATCAGAAGTTGCAGCCAGTTTCTTTTTAAGTCGAGACAAGGTTATGAATGGTCTTTGATATGGCCCTGTGTGCCATAAAAAAGGGAAGCAATAAAATAAGAATTAGAGTGTGAGAATACATACACATAACACACATAACACACAAAACACAACGGGCCGAACTGTGTGGTGCGCGCACATACAATTGCCGGCAGCGGCAGGAGCGAAAAGCAGAGAAAGAGACATGATTTACAGTTTAAGTGGCAAATATTTCAACTTATTGCCACTCGGTTGGCGGTCTTTTCGATTTTGTTGGTGCTTCTGTTGCGGCTTTTTTTTCTTCTCCTTCTTTTTTCAACCTTCACAATAAATTCCTGGTTAATTTCCAGCGCGATTTTTATTTCCACACTCAGTTTTATGATATTGTTCAAAGTGTTTTGTGAGAGTGCAAGTGGTTGCTTGGTTGGATGAGCGCGCAAACGAGCCACGGGCTGTTGAGGTGCACGCTCTTCACATTGAAAAATGAACAGACAAGTTTTACAATCCGACGTGAATCTTTAAAATTTAATATTCGCTGTAATTGTCAGTCACAATTGAAATTGAAACCGCCGCCGTCGTCGACTTTGTACACACACACTTTTTCTCCATCAACTTTGTCTCTAAACTTCAAGTGGCATTCATATGGCTGTGTGAATTTTCAGCAAAAATCAAACACATTTTCTAGACAAACTTTGTCGACGTTCCAAAAATTATATTATTCCTGGAATGGAAATTCAAGTCAATTTCACGTTCTCTTCGTCCTTTTTTCTTTCTTTCTTCGAATTCGTACACATCATTTCGCTGTACTCATGAAAACAAAGCTGCCGCAGCAGCAGAAGCCGTCTGCTTTGAAATGAAACGCTGATGGAATATGAAACGAAAAAAATTACAAGAATAATTGGAACAACAAGAACAAGACATGAATCAAATTGACCTAAAAATCGTTTCACCAATCGTTAGCTGCACGCGGCTGCAGCGACGACGACAACGGCCATCGTCAACAGAATAGACGAAAGCAGAACCAACTCTCTTTTTCATCTTCTCCCGCCATTCACTTTTCGGTCAATTTCAGCTCTGGCGAGAGAGAGAGAGAGAGAGAGAGAGAGAGAGAGGAAGTAAATGAAGTGGTACATTTGTTTTATTCGAAAATAAGCGTGAGCATATTTTAAATTCGCCTTCTACTCCCAATGCATTCAATTTTAGTCTCGAGTATTTGAATATCGGGCATTGTGCTGACTACATTTTGGCATCGTGGCTGTGCAGTCGGTGCCAATACTTGCCCCGATAGAGAGAAAAAGAGAGCGAGAGAGCACGAGAGAGAATAAGACCCATGAAGGTATAATGTACAATTTCCCTATAAATGCGCATAATTAGAAGGAAAAAAACAATGACGAAGCGAAAAAAACATACTTTTACTTAATTGCGCCAATTTGTGTCTTCGGAAACAAACAGACAGGGGAATGGGAAACCGGAAAAATCGGCACAAAATCAGAAAAGTCGCAATGGCAAAACGGTCATCGGATGATGCCGTTTCTGTTGCTGTTGCTGCCGTTGCCATTGCCATGGCCCGTTAGTGCGTTGAACGACAGAGCTACCACGAAAAACTTCGAGGCGGAAGAAATGAAAACAAAAGCGAAAAATTTGCAGCTGCACAACACAAAAAAGAGTGAAATCGTTAGCAAATGCCAAAATGAAACGAACGCAAATTACGTTATAGCCGATATTACATTAAAATTCCGTATGAATTCGCTTCATTTATTTTATAATTAAAGCTGAAACTTTGCTTACTTTTAATTTTCTAGCAGCAGTGGCAAGAGAACACGAATGAGAGAGATGGTGACGATGGCCAAGAAACAAAACCGCGTCAATTTTTTCCCTTTCTCTGTGTTCTCTGCTTTGCTCGTACCTTCATGACTCATTTTACCATTCATGCCATCACATTCGATGTGACCATGTTCAAGCAGCGCAACCATTCCCGTTTTGTGTGCGTCATCAACTACTTTTCTCGGATTTTCCTTCAATTTTAACGAAGCAAGCGAAGATGAGGGTGGAGAATGGAAAAAAATTGAAGCTCTTAATATTTCGGTGAAGCGAAATAACTTGATGTAAATGTGTTCCATAGAACAAATGGTCATGCAAATCTGCAGACCGGGACATCAGTTTTATTCCTCATTCGATGTGTTTTTTTCTGTTTCTCTTTGAAAACGTGCATAAAGCCAAAACTTTCGATACCTAATTGAGAATATTTTTGCCCGGTTTTTTTTATTCATTCATTTCCTTTTTTCATGATATTTAAAAGTTGTATAAAGAAATTTAATTCGAAGCACATTGCAAATTGAATGGGATCCCTTGGGTGGCAAATGTGCTTACTACCCGTTGCCTTTGATGAGTTTCATTTGGCAATTGTGGAAAATGGAACAATAGCAAACGAATGAACGGAGGGATACAACCTTCCAGGAAAACGATCCACATGAAATCGATGGTGATAATCACATGCCAACGGAAGGCTTGAACGTTTCAAGTGGCACATTTTTTCTACCGAATGATGTGAAGTGCAGATGAAAGGAGCCATTTTTATCATGCATTATATTTTTTCAAAGAGGAAATTCAATTAAATTGTTATGGACAGCTGTCGACGAACGGAACTGAAAATTTTCCCCGGTGAAAAGTTTCACATTTGAATTCCTGTCAAAAGTTGGCATAGCCCAACGAGAGAGGAACATCGCAAAATGTACATCTAAAAATGGCACATTTAGTCTCAAAGTCAAGTTGAACACTTCTGGTTAACGTGGCCGACACTCGAGTCCATTGCAACTAACTGACGCATGCTCTAATTGAATAACATCTATTTACTGTGTTTGTTCAGTCGTCGAGTTTAGTTGTCATTGTATTTGGCCAGTGGCTAACCAACTCAAAAGCTTCAAAAAGCACACAATTTATGATAAATACCACGACAAGTGGGTGGTGACAACCTCAGCACTAGAAGTTGCGATACGATTTTTCTCGAGATTTGTTTTTTTCCTGATTCAAATTTACTGCAACGAAATCAAGTCTAAAACTATGCAGATTTCCATTTAGAAAAAGCTAACTTGCATACGAAACTACTTGATGACTTTGAGTGATCCAACGTTTTTGATGTTCGAACAAGATGGTTTAACATTAACATGCCTCAAAACAAATCGATTACACTTTCAATCCAAACAACGTTGTGTTAGACTTTTGCTGTTGTGCACACAACTTGATGTGGATATGCACTGCCTTTTCTTGCAAACTATGCTATGCATTTGTGCTCTTTGTTTTTGGCATACGCTTTTGCTGCTGCTACTGTTTATGATGGTTAAATACACATATTTTGCGGTTATCACTTGTCATATATGACAAAATCCATCAAAAGCGCCTCTCTTCTTGTGGTTACTTAGCTGCCAAACAACAATGTGAAGCAACAACGAAAGGAGAAAAAGACACAAGAGAAATGGGAAAAAATGTTAAGCTTCAAATGTGAGCATAAGTGTTGATACAAGCAAACACTTTGCTTTAATTCATGCAATATGTGCTGCCGTTGTGCCGCTCATTGGCTGTACAAGTGGATGTGTTAGTGTGTGTGTGTGTGTGTGGATCTGTGTGCAGTAAAGTGGAAAACAATAGATGGTCTCCCATAAAATACATAAGTTGAAGCTGTTCCTTCTATCCATTGGCAAAATTCTTTCATTTTCACCGTTTTACAAATATAAACACACTTAAGCATTTGCTGATGTAATAATGCACATAGAAAATATAAGTAGAAATCATGCATTTCATGTGGACGAATGGGCAAGAGGAGGGCAGAGAGGGAATGAGAGTGTGCAGAGTGTGTGCAAGTGTCAGTTGAATTTTGTAAGCGCTGGCAAACAGCAAACAGAAAAGCTGAAAACGACAATGAAATCAAAACAGGCTCAGACAAGTGGAAAAATGATTTCCACCCAACTAATGCTCTCCCCCTGTCTCTCTCTCTCTCTCTCTCTCGTTCGCCCTGTATGAAAACATTTTCCGTCTCGTTTCGATTGTATACTTGAACGTCATATGAATACATATAGTGCTTGCAAATTCAGTGGTACAGTCGCAAAAAGGAAAAAAAACCTC